TTCAAGAGGTGAAGAAGTGTGTTACCCACGGTAATCGGTCTGATTCCATGATTTTTCTTCTCCAGGGCATACTGGGATGTTCTGAAGAAAGGTTTATATCTGGAATCAGTCGAGTCCAGCAGTTGTTAACTTGTTAACAAACTTCGTGATATCGAGCAGTTGGACAGTTAGGTCTCAGGAACATCGCCGAGAACTGGGTTTGCCTTTTCCTTGAGGAGCTGAATAATTACACCTGGAGCCTGGCGTAAATGACATAGCTGTTGTGCATAACTCTGACTCTCGACGAAATCAAGTCCTTCTTTGGGACGATCCTCTCCTGAGAAGCCGGTCTTTAGGTTGCTCTGCAGGAAGGTAGCAAGGTGGCAATATTTTCAATGTCATCACTAGTAACTATCCTGATTATCCGAACTGTCTTGTCTTCTTCAGTTAGTCTTCTCACTTGGGTTCCCATTTACCGCTGTCACTCGAACAGACATTAGGACTGCCTCGGTGAGTTTTTGGGTGGTAGAGGATTAGCATAAATTTGTTAGATCTAAAATACTATTTATTGATTTGTGACTGGTAAGGCTAATAACATTCCTCCTCCTTGCTAACAAGCAGACACTGCAAAAACAGTAGCATCTTGTCCCATGTGCTGATGACCAAACATCAAAGTTTACAGAGCCGACATTCACTTTCTTGACAAGATCTGTATATTTCCTGTTGGAAATGTTGCGCGCTGCTTTTGGAAAGTTAAGAAGTGCACTGGTGTAGGCTGCATTGACTGCTCCTAGGAGGTCAATTGATGACAAGAAATTTACGGGGATGTGTCAGTATGCCCGAGCCAGAAGAGTTCGTATGTATGAATAAGACCACAACGTTGATTAACCTTATTTTTAAAGTTGTGGCTGTGATATATGCAACAAACCTGGTATGTCCCTCTGCTTGCATTTTGCACAGAACAGTTTTCTCAGCCGAAAATAGTCCTGATTAATTGGCCGGCCATTAGGACGAACGCACACACTAAAGTAATCATTCTTTCGATGCATTCTATGGCAATTATATGGGTCTGAGGTAACAATGGGTTAATATAGAAGCGGGATTGTAACGTCGAGCAGACAAAAAAATTCATTGTGTCAGGGGACAGGAAGCCAGGTTATACATATAGTATATGTAAGGCTTATACCGAGCCCCTCCCTCTCCCCAGGATCAAATTACTGACCCTGCACAGAATGCAACCCCACAACAAGCTGACTAATTCATGTGTACCTATTTACTGCTATTTATGTCCTTGAGGTGAAAGGAAATGCGCCCAACCATTTACGTGCCGTCCGGGGTTTGGACCCGGAGATCTCAATTGTGAGTCGAGAACGAACCCGACTTTACTACCGGGATTCTCGTGCATGGTAGCAAAGATGGCTGGAGGCAGTGTGCACATACTTGACACTCATCCAACACAAATTATTATTTCAACCACTCACTAAAAATGAATGAAGTTTATATACATTATCTAGTTATTTGCTTGGGAACAAAAAGATCCTTAATAATAGCTTATCAAATAAGTTGGTTGTAACAGCTATGGGCCTGTCCTCCCCAACCACGGTCCAGCAGCATAAATAATATATCGTCTGGCACCCAGACTGTCTTACCACACACCTCGCTTCCCTACCCACCCAAACACACACATCTCTCTTTATCCTCTGGAAATGATGCAACGGAGAACCTCCTTTTCACTCTCGGTTTTGTTCCTAGATTATCAATCGTCAGTCGAGTCTTGGCTTGGTCAGGCCCCGTGATCTTCACTGAAACAGAGAAATTACCTAAGCTGTGTTCGTTTTGTGTTTTTTTTATTCTGTAAATATTTGTATGCCACTTCGGTATGTTGCCCTTCATCTTTTCGATAACTTGCTAATGCAAGCTATACCAAGTTCAACACATACAGTTAACTGATGTGTTTTTAAAACCAGATCATTTTAAAAACTTAAATATGAAAAACAATTATTTTCTGACTTTGTAATAGGAGGAAACCTCAAGTGTAGATGATTTATAACAAACTGTAATTATTTATTATGTGTTTTTGTTCATAAAAAATTATGAATAAATGCTTATGGAAATTAAATATGTGTGCAAATATGAGCACACAGATAGATGTTAATATTTTTACCACTAGCATTTTGTGTATGTTTTTATGATTGTTGTTTTATTTACCAACGATATTTCCATTAGTGATATATAATAATGGGTTTAAATACGCCGGTCTGTGGAGCAAATACTTAATGATAATAAATATGAAATTACTACATAAAGGTTCTGTTTTAATGGTAAAACTAAGCCAATGTCCAAGAGTCCAGGATTAACCTTGTGTCACAGAATATAAGAGAACTCCAAGTTTTTAAGAACATTTGCGAGGAACAACCGAACATTTAGACCATTTGCGAGCAACATTGGGTGTTTAAAACAAATTTTAAGAACATTAGAACACTTGAACATTTTAGAACATCTTTGTCTATGAGTGTAGAACAGAACAAAGTATATTGAGTGGCAATTCTGGCTAACGTAGAGATGTGTAAAACTTTCTCAGTTCCTATAAATCTTGTGTGTCTCAGGTTCCATGATCCACTATCATCATGAAATTTATTGCCTGGGGTAGGAACTACAGCTTTATGATGTAAAAACTTTATTACTGTTTTTAACGTCTCCTTGTTGGGAATTTAATATAATTTCCAAACTCTTCAAACACTTTCAAAGAATTTCTTCTTTGAAGTTTTTATGAAAGACATAACTATGTCTAGTGATTTGTAATTAGCTAAAAATCTCCCTTGGTCTCTTGTGACATCACCGATTCCCTCTTTCTTTGTCACTAAAATTAGCCCAGCTACAAGTAATAAAGTAAAATTTGTTTAACTATTTTAAAAAAGGCTGACGAAATGTTCAAAGAAACCATGATGCCAAATATAAGTGAATATATATTGGTTTAAGTTCTAGCACGTTAAGTGGAAATGTTTATTAAATTGCCGTTTACAGATTTTTAATAGCAAGGGACAAAGCAGGTGTCTAGTGCAGCTGGAAGAACCTCCCCAGCAAAACTGGGTAGCTTAAGGGGAGACGCAACATAATTACCAGAGTTGTTACAATATGGACAGGTAAATAAAACTGGTGAGAAGTGCTAGACACCGGAAATGGCGGAGGAGCGCTGACTTCCTCCTGTGCAGCCGTTCATTGACAGGTACTTGGATGGCTGCAGTGAGAGTCACCCCACACAGCGGCTTAGTAAATGGTGCGAGGGTGACTACCTTGCCATCATGGGAACATACACGCCTCTGATCAGGTGCATTTAGTTTGTTGGATTATAGTGTCATCACTGCCGCACTTTTTAATGTTTTACGGGTGAACCTGTAGATCTTGATGGAGTCCAAGTGCTCTGAAACACCAGGTTAGTGGTCAAATATTTCTTCCATATTACGTCCAAATCATTAGTCCATATTTCGTGTAATATGAAGACATGGTTGTTGCTGTTACCGAATTGATGGGACTCGGTGAGCATAGTTAATTTTGAGTGGGGAGTTTTCATTCACTGCTGTTTGGGAGGCGGCGTTTGAAATATCCAATATCACTATTTTTTGTGTGCTTGATCGTTATGTTAAAATGGAGCGTATATGATTAAATATACACTCATTTGAAAAAGCAAAATGGCCTCATCCGGAATGTTCTTTCTTCTGTGTTGGTGGCGGTCCATACCATCATATTGCTCTTCACTAGACAAACAAAGACTTGTTTTAAGTGTGGGCAAGTGTTGTCTAAGTGTGTACTAGTTTTAAGTGTGGGCATGTGTTGTCTAAGTGTGTACTAGTTTTAAGAGTAGCCCAAGCTTCTCTCTCCTTTTGAGATATATTTTATTGTCTCACTAAACTTACTTTAACTTGAATACATGACATTTTTGGTAGGGATTTTAACAGCATTACTTCTGAGCAGGACTACCTGCAATACTCAGTCGCAGGCATGCGTTTCTGAGGTGATAGTGAACACTTTGAATTGTCTTCTTCTTCAGGATTGTTTGAAGTTTGGTCCAAGATTTTCGACCTGGTTCACACTGAGTTCGTATTTGGTCTTTTCGACAGAGTTGGTGTGGCGCAGTTATATTTTTTAGGTCAGGATGTTTTGTCGTTAGTGTCGAAGCAGTGTTTGTGTAAAAAGAATTTTGAGTACACTTTCGTGATTAAGCATCATGTTCATTAAGGGTGTCCCCTGCCAATGCTTCTTAACGTTGTTTATCACGAGTCACTGTACTTAGAGGTAAAGAACAATTTTATGCGTTTATTTTGACACCATTTCAGAGTCCCAAGGCAATCCCTGTTGTTGAACATGCAGGCGACAAGACGATTTTAGTGTCGGCAGAGGCCTCGGCGGTGGCTGTTCAGGCGAAAATCAAAAGATTCGAGGTGGCGACGGAAACCGTTTTTTACAGATAAGTCTTGCATGATGGGGCTACATGGCTGGTGTTGGAACTCCTCCCGGGTGGGTTGGGCTACATGGCTGGTGTTGGAACTCCTCCCGGGTGGGTTGGGCTACATGGCTGGTGTTGGAACTCCTCCCGGGTGGGTTGGGCTACATGGCTGGTGTTGGAACTCCTCCCGGGTGGGTTGGGCTACATGGCTGGTGTTGGAACTCCTCCCGGGTGGGTTGGGCTACATGGCTGGTGTTGGAACTCCTCCCGGGTGGGTTGGGCTACATAGCTGGTGTTGGAACTCCTCCCGGGTGGGTTCGGCTACATGGCTGGTGTTGGAACTCCTCCCGGGTGGGTTGGGCTACATGGCTGGTGTTGGAACTCCTCCCGGGTGGGTTGGGCTACATAGCTGGTGTTGGAACTCCTCCCGGTGGGTTGGGCTACATAGCTGGTGTTGGAACTCCTCCCGGGTGGGTTGGGCTACATGGCTGGTGTTGGAACTCCTCCCAGGTGGGTTGGGCTACATAGCTGGTGTTGGAACTCCTCCCGGGTGGGTTGGGCTACATAGCTGGTGTTGGAACTCCTCCCGGGTGGGTTGGGCTACATAGCTGGTGTTGGAACTCCTCCCGGGTGGGTTGGGCTACATGGCTGGTGTTGGAACTCCTCCCGGGTGGGTTGGGCTACATGGCTGGTGTTGGAACTCCTCCCGGTGGGTTGGGCTACATGGCTGGTGTTGGAACTCCTCCCGGGTGGGTTCACGGTTTGCATTTAATGGGCCTATTAAACTCTGGGGATCACCTATCTTAAGGTTATCTTGAGATGATTTCGGGGCTTTAGTGTCCCCGCGGCCCGGTCCTCGACCAGGCCTCCACCCCCAGGAAGCAGCCCGTGACAGCTGACTAACACCCCAGGTACCTATTGTACTGCTAAGTAACAGAGGCATAGGGTGAAAGAAACTCTGCCCATTATTTCTCGCCGGCGTCCGGGATCGAACCCGGGACCATAGGATCACAAGTCCAGCGTGCTGTCCGCTCGGCCGACCGGCTCCCCGGCAGATGTAAAGAACACCTAGTCTAAGACTTGTAGAGAGACATTGGGGAAAATTGGGACGAGATTATGAGGAGCTTATTCGTATCGACGTCTATGTCGTCGAATAGGAACGTAACGATTTTTCAAAAGGAGTTGATTTTAAACTGATAGAATCTTTTGAAGGTATGATAACTAGCTTACAGTTTTTTCTGCATAATAAGTTGTAATGGAGATTGATAAGAATAAATTTTGATGTATGAAATGTGAAAAGCACCATCAGATTCTGAGGACTATGCTCAGTATGAATAAACAGAATAATGGGATAGATTTTTTTATATATTTTTTATTAATTCATTAAGGTACATCTGCATTTGTGCAGCTACCCTAGACTATATCAAGGTGACTACAGAGTGTGCCAAAAAAGCTAGCCACGTGATGCTAAGAATCTCCATCGCACAGGATGGTTAGTCATACAAAGGCATGTGATCAGATGTCTGCAGTGACAAACTCTGGGTGCATTATGAGGATATCATCATGAACACAAAAGTGAATAAGGCAGCAGTGATACTAAAAGTCTCCATCTCGCAGGATGGTTAGTCATACAGGGCCATATGTTCAGTAGTCTGTACTGGCAAATTGTGGGTGCATTATGAGGATATCTTCAAGAACACGAGAGTGAATAAAGTAATTGCAAAGCTCCAGGTATCTCATGCCAACAAGTCTGAAAGGTCTGATAACAGGGTATTCGGTGATGTAGTGTGCAAGATCATGCCCCAGTTCCTGCTCACACAGTTTGCACCTGGAGTGCTGAAGATTGAGTGACCCGTCACCTGTAGCCACCTGCCACAGGTAATGGTAACCCAACCTGATCCTGACAACCACTGTGTCGCACAGTCTGGTGCACGTTTTGTTCTACCCATAAACATAGGGTTTTAGATCTGAACAAATCATAGCTTTCTGTACTGGTGCTTTCAGGTTGTTGGGAGTCAGTAATTTCTCTCCTTTCAGATCTGAGTGTTTGGAACAATACAGTTTTGATAGCGGAGATGGGAATACCTAGGTCTAATTCAACTTCATCTTTGTTACACGCTAATTTGGCTGCATTGTCTGTGCCATTATGTTGGGTTATATTTATGTGTGATGGTATCCATACAAAGAGGATTCGAAACCCTTTACTCTGCCGCAATTAGGTCCTTTATAATTGGTAGAATGAGGTTCTTGCTGTCATTCTTCCAGGATAAGTTTTCGATTGCCTGAAGAGCATACTTTGAATCACAAAATATTATTCCTCCTACATTATTTTTAATGTGCTGGTAGCTAGTTGTAGTGCAGCTAGTTGTTTGGAGGTCAGCCCGTTGTTTAACCTGGTAATGATAGTCCGTGTGCAAATATAATTTCTATAAAATCTATATGCTACTGAAGTCCGTCCACTAGAAGATTGGACTGAGCCGTCCGTTCAGACTCAGTGTTCGTAAGATCAATAATTGTCGATGGAGGAGGCAATTGTTTCAAGTGTGACAGCTTTGCGAAAAGCAAGATTCTCATTTCCTCTCTTGGTGATGGGTGTGTATGATCCCTAAATAGTTAGGTACATATAAAGAGGAATATCTGAGACAAATTGCACTTAAAAGGAGTGTTGAGTTTGATGAGATTGTAGGCATTTTTCCTCAGACATTTACCATAAAAGGAGTGAGTCGGTATATTGGTACCAGTTGTGGGAAAATCCTAGCAGGCATTTATTTGTTTTTATTCTTTGTGAATATTTAATTATATTTTTATATCACTTCAATATATATAATTTTAAGTATATTTTGATTCAACCTGCCAGAATATATCTTCACATAGTTTGATCGGATATTCATAGCTTATACCACAATGTGTGGTCATATAGTAAGCTATAAATATTCATCTCTATATTGAATATAAATTATACCACATATGGTGATTATTAGACTACATTGGTTAATTTTACAGTTATCTTATAATTATATTAGTATATAACTTAGAGTTCCTTAGCTGTGGGGTTGATATAGCCTGATAGGCAGTGTTATAGTTGTTTTGGGTGTGGCACATTAGTTGTGCAATGGCGGCTGACACTGTCAGGCAGCTAGATCATGCATGAAAGCTTCACAGGTTATGTTTGCCAGCACACTGATGTCTCCAAGTCACAAGCTTGCCTGTACAAAGTTATCGCTTAATAATAGTTCCATTAACATATAAAGTACAGGTGTGACATGAATTAATGTGTGGTCAGTGCTGAGCTAGACTACTCACTCTGCTGTGGGGCTTCGTATGCTAATAACCGGCTACCTATCCAATATTTAATAGTGATCACTAACAATAAGAGAATATAAGGAAGTTTGTGTGTGTTAGAGCGTGACTAGCATTGCCCCTCCTCCAGCCATGTTCCAATACGCTCTCTTAAGGACTAATTTTATTTAACAATTGCAAGGGAGTCTGTAATGTGTTTCTGGTGTATGGTATAATCATTCAGTCCTAGTGAATACTATTTTATTAAGTTTAAACACTAGACTGTGGTTTGTAAGAATATATGTGGAGTTTAAATATACGTGCGTGAATATTGGGTTTGTTGTGAGGATACCACAGAATCTCCCATTTTCTATAAATTCTTAATGGGTAACTATAGTATGTTAACGTGTGTCGGATTTCTGACACCAGTCAATAGGATGTTAAAAGCACTGAATAATTGTTTTCTGAGCAAAGCAGGATATGTAGGGTCTCTCATGACTTTAAGGAAAAATGTCGTGCTGACTTGCTTCATTCTCTCTAGTATGGTTGGAAGCTTCAGTTCTTCACTCATGTTGATGATTCTTGTGCATCTTGTGGCACCAAGAATTATCCTCATGGTTTCATTCTGTACTACCTGAAGTTTGTCCAATACAGAGGCGGGGAAGGTAATTAGGTGCAAAGCATGATAATCAACTAAAGGTCTAACAAACATTATAAACAATAATCTACCATATTTAATATTGATACCAATATTCTTACCAGTAAGTGTTCTCTGTGGTTTTAGTCTTTCTTTTAACCTACGACGTAGATCGTTTACAATGTCACTGTTGATACCAACTCCAAGGTATTTGTCTGCCCACACGTTTCAATGTTCTGGTTGTTGACTTTAAAAGTTAGAGGGACATGAGTTTTCTCTTGAGGATGGAGAGCTCTGGATTTAGTTATAGAGAAAAACAATGCCACATTCAATGCTTTTAGCAGTGAGTGAATCAAGTAGAGCTTGCAGTCTAGTTTGGGTATTTTCAACAATGCATATATCATCGGCATAACAGAAAACGGCTTCGTCAGGTAGTTTGGGAATATCAATTGTTAATTTGTGAATCAGAACAGGGAACAGTGTTGGGGTTAGCACTTCACGTTGGTGTATACCCAACTCAAAGGGTGCACAATGTTTACTTTTGACCCCCTTGAAAAGGATTGAGGCGGTTCTGTTACTCAGGTAACCTCTGAGCCATGTCAACAGGCTTCTCTTAACGCCAAATAGGCAAGTTGTTCTAAGATTATTTCTGTGTTTGCTGTATCAAAAGCAGTATGGAAGTCAATAACTGCCGCCTGAGAGCTTGGTCCCTCTTTAATAAAAAAATCAGCTAAGCAAGTTTGTGTGCTTTTTCCAGGAAGGAAACCATACAGGTAAGGAGCAAGGTTGGGCCTAATTTGAAACATTAATCTGTAGAGTATAATAATCTCAAGAACTTTACACATACACAATGTCAGAGAGATGGGTCTGAATTTTTGTGAATTAGGCTTGGTGTTACAACCTTTGGGTCCTCAGATGGAAACCAGAGGTCAATTTGAGCTTTAAATAATTACCCTACATTAATTCATAGAATTGGATCGTGTGAGAAGGATATTTAATTCAAATAATATTGATATGAGGGCTCTTTAAAACCATACGCCCTATTCCCGTCGCCCTTGCCAAACGTAAGACGAATCTTGTTTCTCACAGAGCATTCAGACTCTTGAGCTTGTTGTTGATTAACTTTACGTTGAAATAATTATTAACTATCCTTAGAACTAGTGAAGTAAACAGTATTGTACGTCGGTGAAGATTTGTAATGTTTATAAGCGGCGCGATCAGTTAGTTATCTCCCCGGCAACAACTGGAGAGAGCTCAGGGACTGAAGGCTCCTGCTCTCTTCTTCTCTGTTCTTGCTGTGTGGTGTCAACAACTTCCTGTGGGGGCTCTGCCTCGATTCTTTTCCTTTTTCTCCTCTTCCCTTACCTTATCCTGTGTCTAGTTTACAAAGCTAAGTTCCAAGCTGCATGTACGTTTTCTGGCATAAGTGTGTAGTAATGTGTTAAGGCTACGCTAGTGTTTATATTGCTAAGTTACTCTAAGGGGTCTCAGTGGAACCACGTGTGCTCAAGTGGTTCCAAGCTACCTAGAGTCCTTGGTAGTGTCCCTTGCCTAGTAGACTTTACCCTAGCTTGTCCTAATTGTAAAACCTTGTATCCTGCCTATGTGGACTAAGGCTTTTAAAGTAAGATAGTGTGGTAAAGTAGTTATTCTTATTGTATTGTTAATGTATATGAGGGTTGTGAAGAGAGTTTAATAAATAAGTTAGTTTTAAAGGAGTATCCATTCTTCCTGTGTAGGAGATTAATGATCAAACCTCTAGGCTGACATATGTTCTTGAAGCCACTAAATTAATATTGTTTGTATTCTTATTGGGGGCCGGGCCTATCTGATCTCAACTGAAATTGATACTCCCCATAACAGCAACTAAACTCATAAGCAGCACTTTAAATTTATAATAAGCCACAGACAATAAAAGTCTCTCCTTCGACAATTAAAAACAGAATCAGATTTAGTGGCACAAATAGGCCTGGCCCCCAAGGAACATAGGTTCCTGTTTATGCTTTAAGGTTTTAGAACAGATCTGTAGTGGCGTAGATCATCATCTACGCCACTACAACGGGAGTAATGGATACTCCTTTAAAATTAACTTATTTATTAAACCCTCTTAACAACCCCCATATACATTAACAACAATAACAATAACTACTTTACCACACTATCTTACTGTAAAAGCCGTGGTCCACATAGGCAGGATACAAGGTTTTACAATTAGGACAAGCTAGGGTAAAGTCTACTAGGCAAGGGACACTAGCAAGGACTCTTGGAACCACTTGAGCACACGTGGTTCCACTGAGACCCCTTAGAGTAACTTAGCAATATAAACACTAGCGTAGCCTATACACATTACTACACACTTATGCCAGAAAACGTACATGCAGCTTGGAACTTAGCTTTGTAAACTAGACACAGGATAAGGTAAGGGAAGAGGAGAAAAAGGAAAAGAATCGAGGCAGAGCCCCCACAGGAAGTTGTTGACACCACACAGCAAGAACAGAGAAGAAGAGAGCAGGAGCCTTCAGTCCCTGAGCTCTCTCCAGTTGTTGCCGGGGAGATAACTAACTGATCGCGCCGCTTATAAACATTACAAATCTTCACCGACGTACAATACTGTTTACTTCACTAGTTCTAAGGATAGTTAATAATTATTTAAACGTAAAGTTAATCAACAACAAGCTCAAGAGACTAAATGCTCTGTGAGAAACAAGATTCGTCTTACGTTTGGCAAGGGCGACGGGAATAGGCCGTACGGCTTTAAAGTGTCCTGATATAAATTTTATTGTAATTAAGTATCCTTCTCACATGATCCAATTCTATGAATTAATGTAAGGTAATTATTTAAAGCTCAAATTGACGTCTGGTTTCCATCTGACGAGCCCAGGGTCGTAACACTTGGGTATGGGTATTATGAGTCCTTGTGTCCAGCGGTCGTGTAAGGCACCCTGCCTTAGATTTTGATTAAACAATTCTAGCAAAGGATTGTTTGGCAGCTCAGCAAGTATTCTCATGGTATTGTGTGTTATGCCATCCTCTCCAGGAGAGGTAGCCTTACCTTTTTTGGAATTTTTTTATTTCAAAATGGGGTTATGTCATAGTTATCATCTGGCCCTATTTCACTACAAGCAATTTCAATATTGAATTTACGATATATTTTGGTACTAGCCAGATGGTGTTGTACATATAGGGGCAGGCTGCTTATACTGGCAGTGCTTGCATATTATTGAAGCAGCATGTCGACACAGTTTGCCGGTTAATGGTGATCAAGTAGACGACTGCTAGGATGATAAGTCTTTTTAATTTTATTCCTCATTTGGGATGAGGGTGTTGCATGATTGATGCCTTGCAAGAACTGTACCCTGTGCTGGTTATACACCTGTTCCTTTAGCTCTCTAAACTCTCGGCTGGCCGTAAGAAATATGTTGAGAGGGTTTTATGTCTTTTATACTGCTCAGCTAAGATGAGAACTCTGTCATGTTGGGGCTGAAGGCGTGAGTCAGTGAACCACCTCTGTCCCTTCCTCGCTGTTTTAGGTCTTGTGGATTTTACAATATTGTCATAACAAGCGGTTACCTCAAAGACCAGGTCTTCATATAATGCATTGACGGTAGTAAAACAGTAAGAGTTATACCATAGAAATGCTATATATGAAGTATATGTGTAAATTTTCAGGGCTATTGATTATTTTGTGTTTCAAAACTTTGGAGTTTGACATTATTTATGGTGTATGAACTGAGGATGACAAAATGACCAATAACTAATTCGTGAACAAATGATCTTTTGGCAGCATTATCGATGAGACCGTGTCAATGACATAATCAGGTCTACCTTCCCTGGGATGTGTCATGTTAGATGAGTTGAAGTTGTATTCTGATATGTTATTATCTTTAATTATAATATTTAATCAAACCTGGCGAGGTCATTTTTATTTGTTTTTAACTTTGCCCTGAAGTGTGAGTTTATTGGGCATCGCCACTCATCCTGTGAGTGGACATATCGCCATAGCAGCATGTACAACACTCCCCAATAGAAAGAAAACCCGCTGGGTTGTTCATCCTGTCACTTGTACCCAAACACAGCTGGGACTTGATTAACTGTCTCAAGTGAAAAGCTCCTCAAACAAGAAGGTTAACATACGTCAACCCTTAAAAACTTCCGTTATCTGCGGGTGCAAAATGAGTGAATCTTTTAGGAGTAGAATCAATATATGACAAATAGCGTTTTCCTATAACACTGTAGGGCCGCAAACAATGTGGAGCTTATTATTTTACACATATTTATAATGTCTCTCAGGTGTTCATATTCTCTCATGTAGTGGTCAAGGCGGTGTTAGTCACTCTCACCACAGATTCTGCAACTCAGCTGTTCAAGATAGAGATACATAATGTATACTAAAGTCTATGGAGACTCTGTATCAAATTTTAGTAGATTATACAATGGAATGATGTTAATATTATTATTTTTTTAAATGCGACATTATTTTGGTTAAATGCATGCCAGTTCCCTATTACGTATGACTATGTTAAACTTGCATCTGTTTCGTCCCTATTATGCTTGTGATACTGATGTGTGAGGTGGGTTTGTGGAGTGAAAGTCATTTTACGTATGTGCTGTAAACATGTGTTTGAGAGTTTGTTTCCTTCTGTGGCCTCTGCTGTGGTGGCATACCAACTCTGTGACTGAGCTGAGCTGTGGGTGAAAATTCGTGAAAGGTGTATTACCTTGAGACAACATGAGCTTTTCTATCGCTACATTTACGAAATACACTGTTCTGGGTAGTATTGTTGGTCACCAACAACAGCAAGTATGGTCATTGTGGTAATTTTGTGAATACTTTATTTTTTAAACAGAGCTGCTCCAATGACTTGGATAAACGGCACTATTGCAGCTTTGTGTCGACCAGATGTGCAAGTGAATTTGTTGAGGTTTATGATTTTGCTTCAATAATATTACATATTTTGTGTACGGACTGGGAGGTAGGAAGATTAATCTGTGAATAAGACACTGAGGTTATCTGCAAGGTAGGATAATGTATAATGTTGGTGGGATTAAAGTTGATGCTTGGGGAGGGTGTCAGGATTGTTTTACTGCTTGTAACATTTTTCTACCTGTCGATTTGTTGTACTTTGCGTTTCCGTTGCCTATATTTATATATGTATATATGGTTTGCTATTTTGTGTATATTGTGTAAAGAATTATTAATTTTAGTCCACATTCGGATTACACTGAGATTGTTATTTCTATGCTTGAGTTATTTTTTGGAGGCCATAGAGCTTCATTGGAATGTTGATTCAATGCGCTACTGCAGCTTTGTGCGGCCTAGAGGTAAAATGTGGGTAGTGGAGGTTGGAATTACTGTTTTTACTTCCCTTTGCATATAGACTTCATTTTACAGTCTTGGTGCTGTTATTTGCCGACGTTATATGTGAGGCTTGAGAGGCAGGTGGGAGCGATATAGCTTCCACTCTGCCAGGTTTAGCAGGTGTCACTGATTTCTCGGCGTATGAAGAATTGTTTTAACTGACTGTTGTGTATAGACATCTATTGTACCATTTGTTTTATGTATAAATAAATGATATAAAACTGGAACTGTTTATATTTCTATATTTTATAACACTACCACGTGCTCCTTATTTCATTGCTCTCAGCATCTTACCATTAATTTTAAATATATATATTGAGAGGCGATGGTGCGACTCTCACAGTGTAATAAAAAGAGAACAGAAACACGCACCAGATGAGATAAAGACGTACATGGGTGACCTTAGTAGCTTCGCAGCCATTACACAATAAACCTCACTCTGAGTAAATACAATAAGATCAGTGAGGAAACAACTTAATACACAATACAACGGTGTAACACAGGCACCATACCAACCAAGGGGCACTAAAGGGAAGGACCACTGTCATGCAACAAAGCACAAAACCCACAGAAAAAAAACAAAAAGTCATACAAAGAGAAACCACTAAACGAGGCTCCACTCCATCTCAGCCATAAACAACATTTTCTGCTGAAAACTATTTGAATAGAGCAGAGGCAATCGAGCGTTCCCAACACCACATAGTCTGTAATCGGCTCAGCAAAACTCTGAAAATCCTACCCTCAGAGTATTCGTCCGTCCTCAGAGTATTCGTCCGTCCTCAGAGTATTCGTCCACCCTCAGAGTATCCGTCCGTCCTCAGAGTATCCGTCCGTCCTCAGAGTATTCGTCCACCCTCAGAGTATCCGTCCGTCCTCAGAGTATTCGTCCGTCCTCAGAGTATTCGTCCACCCTCAGAGTATCCGTCCGTCCTCAGAGTATCCGTCCGTCCTCAGAGTATTCGTCCACCCTCAGAGTATCCGTCCGTCCTCAGAGTATTCGTCCGTCCTCAGAGTATTCGTCCACCCTCAGAGTATCCGTCCGTCCTAAGAGTATCCGTCCGTCCTCAGAGTATTCGTCCACCCTCAGAGTATCCGTCCGTCCTCAGAGTATCCGTCCGTCCTCAGAGTATTCGTCCACCCTCAGAGTATCCGTCCGTCCTCAGAGTATTCGTCCACCCTCAGAGTATCCGTCCGTCCTCAGAGTATTCGTCCGTCCTCAGAGTATTCGTCCGTCCTCAGAGTATTCGTCCGTCCTCAGAGTATTCGTCCGTCCTCAGAGTATTCGTCCGTCCTCAGAGTATTCGTCCGTCCTCAGAGTATTCGTCCGTCCTCAGAGTATTCGTCCGTCCTCAGAGTATTCGTCCGTCCTCAGAGTATTCGTCCGTCCTCAGAGTATTCGTCCACCCTCAGAGTATCCGTCCGTCCTCAGAGTATCCGTCCGTCCTCAGAGTATCCGTCCGTCCTCAGAGTATCCGTCCGTCCTCAGAGTATCCGTCCGTCCTCAGAGTATCCGTCCGTCCTCACAGTATTCGTCCGTCCTCAGAGTATTCGTCCGTCCTCAGAGTATTCGTCCGTCCTCAGAGTATTCGTCCGTCCTCAGAGTATTCGTCCGTCCTCAGAGTATTCGTCCGTCCTCAGAGTATTCGTCCGTCCTCAGAGTATTCGTCCGTCCTCAGAGTATTCGTCCGTCCTCAGAGTATCCGTCCGTCCTCAGAGTATCCGTCCGTCCTCAGAGTATCCGTCCGTGCTCAGAGTATCCGTCCGTCCTCAGAGTATCCGTCCGTCCTCAGAGTATTCGTCCGTCCTCAGAGTATTCGTCCACCCTCAGATTATCCGTCCACCCTCAGAGTATTCGTCCGTCCTCAGAGTATTCGTCCGTCCTCAGAGTATCCGTCCGTCCTCAGAGTATTCGTCCGTCCTCAGAGTATTCGTCCGTCCTCAGAGTATTCGTCCGTCCTCAGAGTATTCGTCCGTCCTCAGAGTATTCGTCCGTCCTCAGAGTATTCGTCCGTCCTCAGAGTATTCGTCCGTCCTCAGAGTATTCGTCCGTCCTCAGAGTATTCGTCCGTCCTCAGAGTATCCGTCCGTCCTCAGAGTATCCGTCCGTCCTCAGAGTATCCGTCCGTCCTCAGAGTATCCGTCCGTCCTCAGAGTATCCGTCCGTCCTCAGAGTATTCGTCCGTCCTCAGAGTATTCGTCCACCCTCAGATTATCCGTCCACCCTCAGATTATCCGTCCACCCTCAGAGTATTCGTCCACCCTCAGAGTATTCGTCCACCCTCAGATTATCCGTCCACCCTCAGAGTATTCGTCCACCCTCAGAGTATTCGTCCACCCTCAGATTATCCGTCCACCCTCAGAGTATTCGTCCACCCTCAGAGTATTCGTCCACCCTCAGAGTATTCGTCCACCCTCACAACACACAAACAATAACCAAAGTGCTCCGAACTTTTCAACTTCTTACATGGACCCAAAACAATAAAAGGCATAACAAGTCTTTCATAAAGTTGCTGTGGCAGAGAGCAGAAATAATACATCGAAGCCAGTTCACTAAAATGGCCGCAGACTCTTAAAAATATAATATGTGCAATTACTGAAATGCACCACAATGAACTCAATAATCAGAATCCTTAATACAAAACGTCTGTAAACGATACTAGTCGGAAGGGTCTCGCGCAAATAACAAGACAGTAACTCATTCCTTTTTAAGTGTTAGGAACGACACTTGGAGGCCAGCCCAAACAGCCTTCCAGTCAAGCAAAGTGTATTATTCCTCTACCCTGTGGACTCCATGGCCCACTAAAACCTCATACGCAGCCATACAATTCAATGGAACAAAACCAAGAATTCTACTAACTCGACGAAGAACAAACACAAAGAAATCACGTCATCGTGATATATCAATGAGAAAATCCACAGGCGTGTATTGGACGAGGGGCGTCGGAGGCAGAATTACTGGACGGCAGCCCCAGAGTGCATGGGGGGTGGGAAAGGGTGAAACCCGGGTTCGGCTTCAATGAAAGTCTCAGGAATCTTCGAGGATTAACCACAACCCCCAGGTTGCAATTCTTATGCCAATGTCGTGGTGTAGTCTCTTAGAAGGGGTGTCTGGAAATACCTCAGTACATAGGTTCGAATCCTTATCACGGCTTTTGTGGATTTTCTCGACGAAGAACTTGCACTGCAAACAAGCAAAATAACAGCTGTTCAAAGGCTGGGTTCTTACAAACACGTTAGTAGAGCAAATAAATAAGCCTCAAGCGACAGTAATACAACGCGACTCCCCTCGACAACATTGCCTTCTTATATGAGGTAACAGAAAGAATTGTTAACGACTTATTATTGAAGTCAACTATTCCCAATCCACCTGCAGCTGTACTCATGTGTGAAAGGAACACCGATTAGAGGATACTGACTACACCACAAATATAGATAAACTGACTTCTCACTCTCAAGAGATGTCTTAAACAACAGGAGGCCGTCCGCAAGACACGAAGCCTTCGACAAACCTTTAGAAGTGGTAAGCAAAACTAGTTGAAACAAGGGCAAAACCCAATAAAACTGCAAGCCTGCAACGACAGCCACCGAGTAGTACACCTCCCAACTTCAAGACAATGAGCTTTCATGCAAACTAAACCAAGTGGTCCCAAAAGTGATGATGGACTCTACTACCCAACACCAAGACCCGGGCCGTGAAACCCGAGAAGCTCACATCCGAAACCCTTTAATACACGTCTTATGTATATATTTCTTCTCTAACGTTGTCTTGTCTTTAACTAGGTATGGACTCCAGGCTGGAGCTACATACTCAAGGATTGGTCTGACAAGTGATATACAGGGTCCTGAACTATTCCTTACACAAGTTTCTAAAGGCAGTTCTTATGTTGGCCAATCTAGCATATGCCGCTGATGATATCCACTTGATGAGGGCTTCTTGGGATAGATTCGGTGTGATATCAATATCTAGGTCTTTCTCTCTATTTGACTCTGGCAGGATTTCACTTCTCAGATGGTACCTTGTGTTCACCTTCCTGCTCCCTTCGCCTTATTTCATTACTTTATACTTTCCAGAGTTAAAGTTTAGTAGCCATTTTCTAGATCATTCCTCGCGCTTGTCCAGGTCGTTTTGCAGTCTCTGCCTATCTTGATCTATCTTGAGTCTTCTCATAATCTTTGCATCTTCAACAATCATTGAAAGGAATGAGTCAATACCCTCTGGAAAATCGTTAACATATTTCAGAAACAGGATGGGTCCAAGTACAGAACCCCGTGGGACTCTGGTGACATATCGTAACTCTGATGTCTCCTCTCTCACAGTTACTCGCTGTTTCCTGTTGCTTAGATACTCCGTTATCCCTTGAAGCACCTTACATATTACTTCTGCCTGTTTCCCCAACTTTTGTAACAGACTTTTAAGGGGTACTTTGTCAAAGGCCTCCTGACAGTCCGAGAAAATGCAGTCTGCCCACCCTTCTCTTTCTTGCCTAATGTTTGTCGCCTGGTCATAAAATTCTATGAAGCCTCTGAGGCACGACCTACAATTCCTGAACCCATGCTGGTGGGGTGTTACAAAACTTTTTCCCGCCAGATGTTCTACGGGGCTTTTTCTCACCATCTTCTCCATCACCTTACATGGTATACAAGTTAGGTAAACTGGCCTGTAATTCAGTGTCTCTTGTTTGTCACCCTTTTTTGTATATTGGGACTACATTAGCTATCTTCCAGCTTTCCGGTAGATCACCAGTTTACAATGAACTGTTATACACCACAGAGAGTGGCACATGTATTGCTTCTGCACTCTCTCTTTTAGTATTCATGGTGAGATTCGGTCAGGCCCAACAGACTGTGTCGCATTCAGCTCCAACAGATTCCTTTCGTCCTCATCACTGGTGAGCTCAAATTCCTCCAAGGTCCTTGGTTTGTCCCCCCTCTCTTAGTACAGGGGCTTCTCCTTGTTCTATTGTGAAAACCACCTGGAATCTCTTGTTGAGTTCTTCACAAACGTCCTTGTCATTCTCTGTATATCTATTTCCCCCTTTTCTCAGATTCATCACTTGTTCCTTCACTGCTGATGTGGTTGTGGAGTGATTTTGGTTGAGTCTTGGCTTAACTCGCGATGTCATTTCATATTGTCTCTCTGCTTCTCTCCTCACTCTGAGGTACTCATTTGTGGCTCTCTGGTATCTCTCTCTGCTCAATTGTGTTCTGTTACTCCTGTAGTGTCCCCATGTTCATGTACTCAATTCCTTCGCTACCTTATATTCCTGATTGAACCATGGATTCTTCTGTTGCTTTTCAGGTTTCTCCTTTGGACCGGGATAAACCTGTCTGCAGCTTCCTGCCACTTTTGGGTGACGTAGTCCATCATATCTTGTTCAGTCTTTTCTCTGAGTTTTGTTTCCCATGGTATTCCTAATAGGAAGTTCTCAAGTCGACATATTTCACTCTCATGTAATTTATACCTTTTCCTTTCCGATCCCTTCCTTGGATACATTATCACTACTACCCTGTGTGTGTGTGTGTACTCATCTATTTCTGCTTGCAGGATCGAGCATTTACTCTTGGATCCCGCCTTTCCAGCTATCGGTTGTTTACAGCAATGACTCCTGTCCCATTTCCCTATCATACCTAGTTTTAAAAGTATGAATAGTATTTGCTTCCACAACCTGTTCCCCAAGTGCATTCCATTTTTCCACTACTCTCACACTAAAAGAAAACTTCCTAACATCTCTGTGACTCATCTGAGTTTCCAGTTTCCACCCATGTCCCCTCGTTCTGTTATTATTACGTGTGAACATTTCATCTATTTCCACTTTGTCAATTCCCCTGAGTATTTTATATGTCCCTATCATATCTCCTCTCTCCCTTCTTTTCTCTAGTGTCGTAAGGTTCAGTTCCTTCAGACGCTCTTCATATCCCATCCCTCGTAACTCTGGGACAAGCCTCGTCGCAAACCTCTGAACCTTCTCCAGTTTCTTTATGTGTTTCTTCAGGTGGGGGCTCCATGATGGCGCGGCATACTCTAAGACGGGTCTCACGTAGGCAGTGTAAAGCGCCCTAAAGGCCTCCTCATTTAGGTTTCTGAATGACGTTCTAATTTTCGCCAGTGTAGAGTACACTGCTGTCGTTATCCTATTTATATGTGCCTCAGGAGTTAGATTAGGTGTCACATCCACTCCCAGGTCTCTTTCTCGAATCGTTACAGGTAGGCTGTTCCCCTTCATTGTGTACTGTCCCTTTGGTCTCCTGTCACCTGATCCCATTTCCATAACTTTACATTTACTGGTGTTAAACTCCAGTAGCCATTTCCCTGACCATCTCTGCAACCTGTTTAAGTCCTCTTGGAGGATCCTACAGTCCTCGTCTGTCACAACTCTTCTCATTAATTTTGCGTCATCCGCAAACATTGTTTGAAAATCGGTACGACATTTGCCTCCTTCCAGCAACTGGGCAATTCTCCCGACATAAGTGACTCATTAAAGATCATTGCCAGAGGCACGCTGAGAGCCTGCGCTGCCTCTTTAAGTATCCACGGTGATACTTTGCCTGGTCCAACCGCTTTATTTGCATCCAGTGTTGTCAACTGTTTCATTACCTCCTCTGCTGTCACCTCTATATCTGATAGTCTTTCATCTTGGGTAATCGCTTCTAACAATGGAAGCTGCTCAGGCTCGGTTGTGAACACTCCATGGAATTTTGCATTCAGTACCTCGCAGATTTCCTTGTCGCTTTCTGTATATGCCCCTTCTGTTTTCCTCAGTCAAGTCACTTGGTCATTTACCGACATCTTCCTTCTTATATGGCTATGTAGTAATTTAGGTTGCTTTTTCGCTTTGACTGCAATATCATTCTCATAATTTCTTTCCGACACTCGTCTTATGTTAATGTAATCATTCCTAGCTCTGTTACATCTAATCCTGTTGTCCTCTGTCCTTTGTCTTCTGTACTTCCTCCACTTCCTCCTACTTCTCACCTTTGCTACCTGACACTGTCTATTAAACCATGGGTTATTATATTCCCTCCTGCTTTTTTCCTTTATTGTTGGAATAAATCTCGCTTCAGCCTCCTTTTATTTCAATATGACTTGGTTCATCATACCTTGCACTGTTTTTCATCTAAGTTCTTCCTCCCACTGCACTTCTCCCAGGTAGTCCCTTATCCTTCTGTAGTCCCCTTTTCTGTAATCAAGTCTCCTTTCCCGGACCTCTTGTCCTTTGGTCACAATTTTAAGCTCCATCATGTTGTCAAAGACTAGGACACAATTGTCACTAGCTCCTAGTGGTATTTCATGTTCCAACTGCTCGATGTCTTCTACATTCTGGGTGAAAATGAGATCTAATAGGCTGGGCGTATCCCCTCCTCTTTCCCTAGTGTCTTCTTTCACATGCTATGTTAGGAAATTCCTATCAATAACGTCTACCAGCTTCGCTCCC